GGAGCGGAGATTCACTTGTCAATTTTAAGCATTCTTCATGTGATGACGAGCAATACATTGAAAACAAACGAATAGATTTCATTTTTGAACTGTAAATCTGAGATCCAAGACAACAAATTAGAGTATCGTTGAATTAATATGGCATACTGTATATTTTTGTGTGAATGGTGATGACAACAACAAATAACTTTTTATGATAACGATAACAATAACATTTATCCGTTATCATCAAAATTATTATCTTCAGTTCCATTCCCCTTCTCCGCTTCTCCTTTTCGTTCGTTCGTCTCTCTCAGTGATATATCAGGTGAAGGCAACGATCCGATGGTTACGGTCTTGAAAATTTTTGATTATTTTTCATGACCTTTATTAGCACCATCAAGCCACTTTGTGGAATAAAGATACATTGCACATTCAAGCAAGACTAACACGAAATTTGATGCAATACTAGTGCCAATAAATGAAAATAAATTGGAATCTCATTCAAGATAACCTTCGAATCCGAATTAGAGTCGGCAAGAGGAACAGGAATATGCGATTGTCTGCAAGACGTTGAAGAGCGTCTCAATTCAGGCGTCAGTGAAGCGGACAGTTCTCGCACTCTCGACGCTAACTGCTCATACTCCCGAGCCCTTAATATTCACCAATGCCATTATAAGTTATGACCAATAAACAACAATAATACCTTTCATTCTGAAGCGTTGTCTCACGCTCGAACTGCACTAACAACCGTCGGTATTGTTCATCGCTTGTCTCACAGCGTTCTTTGTACATCCGAATTTCATTGTCTTTTTCAGAGATCTGTTATAATCATTGTTTATTATCATTATCATTTCATTTATTATCATTATGAATTGCGTAATTTACTATTATTATTGTTGTTGTTGTCCACTGTTTTATTCAGCAATAAAATTAAAAATGTATATTGCGGTTTGCATAAGGAAGAAGGGGTAGGTTAAAGAGATTGGCAAATCATTGTTGGTGGATTTTTTCATGATTTCCCATAGTTGTCCGATAATGTCTTCAAAATTTCTATGATATCAGCGACGACTTTTCAATGTTGAGGTGTTTCAATGTTGAGGTCATCAAACTTCATAATCCATAGATTTCCCCAATTTTCTTCTGGCGGTCTGCTATGCGGCCAGTAGGCGATATGAACTTTGAGAACTATTGGGATATCAGAACGTAATTAGTAAATAAATAGAGAAATAGTACGAACTCTATTTTGTAATTCACGATTTTTATCAGATAAACTCTTCAGTTCATCTTTGAACGTGAGCGATTCATCTTTCTTTACATCCATCTTAAATATCGGAAATATTACTAATTATATTTTGATTTCAGTCATTATTTCCATTATCATTGTTACCATTATTCACATTAATCCAAAAATTTTACTTGCAAAAAACTCCAATTCATACTTCTGGTAAACAAATGAGGAATCTTCACTCTATTCGAGCATATAAATCAACTGATTATGAGCAACTTCACCAATAGTCAATTCAAGCACACAGTAACATTTGTTATAACTGATCAATACCATTACTGTCGTTTTATTCAGTGTTGCCGCAAGGTAGAATAATAGTATCATCTTAGGGCCATATCATTATCACATAACTGCTCTTGATACATTAATAACATGTCATAATGAATATATTTCGATAATGGCTAATATATTACCTTGTCCTTGAATTCCCGATTCTTCTCACTCAACACAATGATCTCGCGTTTCAGCTTAGAATTTTCATCGGTTATCGTATTTTCCTGAACTGAGTTATGATCACTATCAGCATTGCAGCTTTCTTCAATGAATCAAACAAAGCAACAATGTAGAGTTTGTGTTTTTAAATGATTTACAACCATTATGAACAATTTCAAAGTAGACTCTGCCAATATTCCATTATCATATTGTTTTGCAATTTAATTACGCTGTGTTAAGAGGAACGAAAATATCAACAAATATACTATCGAATTGAAATAATTTGTTGGAAGTTGAACCTTTTCCATCAAATCTCTGTTCTTTTCCATAACCAAATTGAATTCATGCTTTAATGTTGTCAATTCATTCGTTAATGCGTTACCCTGAATTATTTTTGGAATCGAGTCTCTTTTCAGGTAATTTGCACGAATGTTTTTACCATTTCAACGTTTGATCTGGTTATTCTTGTTGATCAGTTACGATATCGATTGAAGGTTGAGTAGAGTAACGAAACAAAAAGCACTTCAACATGTAGATGAAATGCAATGTTAGGCTCAACTTGAGTAAAAAATATTGAAGAGATACGCTGATAACTATTGGTATCAGTAACAACGAGCAGAAAAAGCAATGATGATGGGTGAAGAACGAACAATAACCTTTCTCATGAATTCATCACATTTTTCGTTTAAACTCATTTTTTGTTGTCTTAACATTTTATTCTCATTTGACAGTGATTTTGATAATGTCTGTAATGCCTCCAATTCTTTTTGCATCCTCGATCGACTTTCCCTTCGTTCATTTTCAACTTTCTTATATTCTTCTATCTAAAATCTCATCCCTCATTGTGATTATCAATCGTTAATAATGAAAATAGTAATAAGGCAAATTATATGATATCAATAATGATGGCTTAATAAGCAGATGGACAAACGAATATGATTGAAATGACCTCTGATTCCAAATATTTGATTTTCTCTTGTTCACTTCGCAATTTCTCTTCATAGCGACTCAACTGAGTACGTAACGATTTTTCAGTTTCTTTCAGCTGGAATACAATTACTCTTTGTCAATAAAGGCAAATTACTCGCTCTGCATTGATGATTCTGTTACTGTATTGTGAGTTCTGCATCGCATTCGTCAATACTAAGGAAAGATAATTCAACCAATATTCTGCGGCACTGTTTCACTTAACAGTAGCATAATCTGACCATCATGCAACTCAAAATGAAAACCTAATCATTGAAGCTATGAGAACAGTCATTCCACTGAAGATCGAAATGATTTAGTCGAAATATAATCGCGCTCGTGAATCACGCAATTGCATCGTAAAAATTTTGGGAATACACCTAAGAATTTGATTTCTAGCTCGGTGAAGATGAGGATACAAGTAACAAGGATGATCTTGTGCACTGATGAAGGCGGTGGGCGGACAGGCGGAATCTCATCGAAATTGAGTGAAGAAAATGAAATGGAATAATGACCTCGTTCAGTTGACTCGAATTGAATGCATTATCTTTTTTGACTGAATTTTCTTGCAGTAGATCTTCAATATTCATCTCGAGTTTCGTGATTTGTGCAGACAAATGCGAATTCTCCATTATCAATGCGTTGTTCTCTTCGAGTGCCTTAAGTTTCATGCATATTCAATGTCACTTATGCAATCATTTGTGCGAAATTCGTTTGGAGCTCGAGTGATAAGCAAAAAAGACTTCATTTACCAGATCAACTTGCTAAAAATTTCATACGGAAATGTGGAGAATCATTCCGAATGGGAGTGAAAATAGTCACTGATTTTTATACATGAAGACATGGACGGTTCCCTTGTAAACAGCGAGCGAATCCGTTTCCCTGGCGGAAAATCTCGCATCTCAATGCACATTTCACAACGCAGATATTTCAGATTGTTTCTAATCGCAATCTTTCACATAAAAAATCCATCTATATGAATAAATGTCTAGATAAGGAGGATTTGAATGCGATAACCTTTTCAGTGAGCGCTTTATCCTTTTTAGCCCTCAGCTGTTCCTCCCTTAGTGATCGCCTTCCGGCGGCAATCTCTTCCTGAAACTAACATCAATAACATATTATCATTGTTTAAATATGTTTGCCGTTATCACTCTCAACGCTATCATTCGATTCTTTTGAAATGATACCCATCATAAACTGTTCAACAAGCGAAATAACCACTGAAAATTGAATACGAATAAAAATACTCCAACGACGAGACGACACATTTATGGGAATATTAATTACAACAACTGATAAGAATTCGTTGATGATATGGTAACTCAGATGATTATAACAAATTTAATTGTATCTATAATATGAATGTCGCTCGCTGTATATAGCAGAAATATTCGCATAACAATGCGCTCTATTAATACGCGTTCATGAGCTGGTTATATCGGTTTTATTCATTGCTTCAATGAGTAATTACATTCCTATTCAACATTTTATTATTGACATCTACTCATGGATTGAAATATTATTGGTCACTGATTATTCTCTTAATAAAATATCAACACTGTCAAACGAACACAGCCACGAATTTTGAATCTAATTCAACGAAAATGAAATCAAAATAGCGATAAAATGATCATCAGAAGGTTGAAAATTAGCAAAGTGAAAGCGATAAAAATACTGGAAGCAACAAGTAGAATAAAAATAGAAATTAGAATATGTAACACAAAGATAGAAAAAGTGAAAATGTTGCATAAAAATGAAAATTACCATGAAAGATCGTTCTTTTTCTTTGTTCTCACTCAATTCATTCTCTAGTTTACGAATATTTTTCGCTAATTTTTCGATTTCTTCTCGTCGCTCAATTTCCAAATTTGATAAAATCACTTCTTCACGCTTTTGCTCATCAAACTTAGCCTTAATACGTGGATGATTACTCTGAATCAATGTTATGTTTATCAAAGCATTTGAATTGATAACAGTTTCAGGGATGGAAGCAATGGCGATAAGCAATCATCATTACTTTTCAATGCGAGTTCATTTCATTGGGTTTACTTCTATTATTATGATTTTAAGAAGAATTGAAATCAAATAAGAAAACACAAAAAACCTGCAAATCATTCAACTGATTTGTTGCATTACGTACTTTCTTCATCAACAAATCTTTTTCATTCTCTAATTTTGCTATGTACGATTCCTAAAACCATTTGTTCAGTCACATAAAATTCATTTCCATACAGTCATTCGGCAATTTTCTCATAATTCATCATTAAAATCAAGTAGCGATATCAGCAAGGACAATAATGATGATTCTACAGATATTGATAATTATAAAATGAGCAATGACACATATATTGAAGCCAAATTTAATGGTCAAAAGCGTGAGAAATTACTGTTTTGAGGTTTTTATTTGAGGATATAAGAATAATTCATAAAAATTTATAAAAAACGAGAAAATATAGGCCAATAATAGTAATAAGAATGAGGATGGAGTAAAAATAGTAACACAAACAGAAAAGTAACAACAGTGCTTATAGAAGCAGTTGAGGTGATATCACGCTGATTGAGGTGATAATGACAGTGATAAACAATGGATGTACCTTATCAGCCAAGGAAGGTGTCAAATCGTCTAATCGCCTCTGTAATTCTACAATTTCTTCCATCAACGCCCGTTTATCTCGTGTATAATTCTCTGGAATATACAATGCATAACTAATACCTTATCAAATAGCAATTGGAACAATGATAAACAACGAATAATAATGGCTGAATGATCCAAACCTTCAGCTTTACTCAAACCATTTTCCACATCTTTGATTCGACTCAACAGTCGTTCATTTTCCTCTTCAATCAAGCGATACTCTTTCAACTTTTGCTTGAACCTTTCCTCCATTCGTAATTCTCTCTGCAAGTTGCATTTTTTAATGCAAATGACCATTATGATTAGTGTTCGTCGGGGAGCAATTTTTTGCACGGGGGGGGGTCCCCGCGGGGAGTAAATTGGACGGGGGGGGNGGGGGGGGGAGCGCTCCCCGCGTTCCCCGCCGGGGTCCCCGACGGGGACCCCGTTCCCCGACGAACACTAATTATGATTACTGTTATTGTCAGTGATAAAATCGCATTCAATTTTTTCCTATCGCTTTGTACGTTTCGATAACTAGCGATTGAATTGATTCTATTTCATCTTTATTATACTTGCCACTATCACTGTAAATATATTGTCATTTATCAACTAATAACAAGTGATCAAAACCTATTCAACTCCATGTTTTATTGATTGTAAATATGTAACGTAATAGGGACTTAACGGAAGTCAACTTATAGAACACTTATAGACGAAGTGGAATAACACACAGAACCTGATATGCTTCCTCGAGTTTTTGCAGCATTTCAGCTTGGCCAATAATCATATGTGGTCGAAATTGTTCCTGAGGATTATCATCATTTTCAGTGATGGGCAGAGTCCTGCTCGGAAACAAACTTCTATCTTTGTTCTCTCTTCTTTTCTCATTGTCGCTCTCCGTATCCAACTTTTCAGCCTCCTCCTTTTGAGTGCTATTCCTTCTCATCGGTAGATGTGAGTAGCTTCTCGATTCCGATCGATCTTTAATATGTCCTTCATCAGTCGCTCGTACTGCTCCCCTATCGCATTGTCGTCTGAAATTATGAAAACTCTTCGCACAAAGTAATTCAATGGCAAATTATATTATTGACCATAAAATATAAATATTAAAAAACTGTACAATCATTCAGCAATAAAAGAACAAACTCACAAATAACCGTTCTCAAGTTCCAAAAAATAAATCTGTTGTTGCAAATTCCTCGTATATTGCTCTTGAAGATGGGAACTTTGGGTATAATCAATCATTTTTTGACAGTTACACATTCCACGACTTCAATTATTCATTATTACAACACAATAATAACTAAATTAATAGTAATGCTGCTAATAATAATAATAATAATAACAATAATAATAGTAATAATAATAATAATAATAATAACAATAATAATAACAATAATAATAATACTTATACTATAATTATGATAATCATAATAATGACAATAATAACAATAATAATACTGACAATAATAATGGTGATAATAATCAATACTAATGATGCTATTGATAAGTAGTGTAAAATACCTTCTGGATGCAGAACATTTTGAGAGACTATTATCAAAATTGTTATCGTTGATATTATTTGGTGTGACAATGGTTGACCTCAGATTTCCAAAACTTCCAGTTTTACGCAGTGTGGTGGTGAGTGTAGTTGTTTTTTTGTGAGGAGGTTTGCTAGATGACGTTGGGGCGCCGCCGTCAACTCCTGTCGAATACCCCACTCCTTCAAACAGTTTTTCAATTCATACCATGGCATTCTCGAAAAATACCTTCTGGATGCTGTACATTTCGTGGGATTATTATAACAATTGTTATCGTTGATATTGTTGACATGTTGAAAAATATTCGAAGCTGGAAGCATGACAGTGAGCATAAGGCTGAGGTCAAGGGCTGGCTGAGTCTAGATGTTAGATGATGTCAAGGCTGGGCCAATTCGAACTTTTCAATTTCTATCACTTTGCGCCCAGCCTCTGGCAGCATCTCAATGAATTACACTTTTGGTCTATTCTCTTATTATTTTGGTCCCTTTTGGTCTGTAGATCAGTGAAATATCTTCACATCAACATCTCCATATATTTTTGTGAATGTTTTTATCCTGAAGTTCGCAAAACCGAACGGGTTCATGAGATGATCGACACGATGTTCATGAGATGAGATATTCATATTAACTGTTTGAGGAGCGTTAATCGGATCACAATGTCTTCACTGCATTCGAAGGATTATGAGGAGAATATGAGAATTAAACAATATGTAAGGTAAACGATAACAAATGAAGACAAGCAGCGAAATTGAAAATATCAGTCTCGAGAAACAATGAATTTCGAGAAAGGATTTATTCAATTGGAATAAGAGATGAATTAAAATGATAACCTTTGATGGAGATATTACCCGCAGAACCAAATTTATTTTGAGATCTCGATTCCATTATTCACAGTTATTCGTGATGTGAATTATTTCTTCTTTTGAACGAATTTATCACAGACCAAAATTAAACGAATACATCTTAAAATGATCACAGAAATAGTTTCATTTCATTTCACTGAGAAATTATAAAACGAATGGTGAAACCTGAAATACAGTGCGCCACATTCCTCTAATTCGTTATGTATCCCATCTATAAGTTGAGTTTGCCTCACTGCTACGGCTTATTCTGCGCAAATGTGACTATTTATAGCAGGATGGTTCGGATTTTCATAGGGTATTATCTTCGTAAAATTCTGGTCTAATCACCACTTTCAAAGGATGTCTTTTTTTGTTTGGAGATGATTTAAGTGAATGATTTTAAGGCCTTTAAGGCCTTCAAGACCAATTTTGAAGATGATTTAAGAAGGTTGCAGAAATTCGGTCCGTATATTGCTAGAGCCTCAGGCGATCGTTTATTCAAACATTTTTGTGAATTAGTTTAACTAGTGTGAAGAAAAATTGGAAAATGAATTACGTTTCAACTCGACTGTATCATTTCACTGAACACTTTATCGACCAATCTAATGTTCACACTCACATAACTAAGAAAAGTGTTTTAAATCGCAATCTCACGTAATGCTCGCAATTGCACTCCCAGCAAACCAGTAAAGAACGACGAATAATTTTCAAATGGAATATGTTATACGACTCTATAGCTGTCTCGAGGTTGCGAAAGCAAATCAATGAGCAATTAAAATAAACGAATATTTTTCAATCAACACGGTGTTCTAATGATACTGAATATAGTGACAGTGATAATGCTGCTATTAATAACGATAATAATAATTATTATGAGGTAGCAAAGGTCATAGGAATATAAATCTCTGATATACCTGAAGAGTACTCCATAAGAGATACGGCGTTTAGTGATTGATTGAAGCATATTGTTCGTAACCAAGGCAACGAGAAGTGTAAAAAGTACATGCGCTTGCAGAATATATGGATTAGATATTGAAATCCGTATAGAACCAGCAAACTATTAGTAAGTTTAATGCATGTTGTTGTTGTGTACGGAAGCTGTTAATTTTGATTCAAGTTCTTTGCGTTATCAACGACTGAATATGGCACAAGATCACTTAAATGACAGCTGCTCTCGTGGGTAGCTGATCTATTTTGATCATCAAACATGATCGAAATTAACTTTTCATGAAGGCAAAGTCTTTTTAGACTGCATTAATATCGTTAGCTGTATAGTAAAAAATGATGTCACTGAAGGAAGAATACGCAAATAGTTATGACATTACAACGGAAAGACAAACTCCTAATGAGTTGTTTCAATAGCAGCCGATCACTTTATTTGCTTTTGCAATTAGCATCATCGATTGTTATTGGTATATTATCAATTCATAGTTTATCAGTAATCACTGTTATCTGCAACTTCAAGCCAGCAATCACGATTGTATACCTCAGATAAATTCAGCTTGCATACCGATAATCTCTCCCACTACAATACTTCTTCTGTTCATTGCCACAATGACCGCCTTCAAAAGACACAAATTTGTGACCGTCCCCACGAAAACATCTTGCGGGGCAACCAGTTCCCGAATCAGAATCCCGACAACCGCCATTATACATCATTATGGTTGCTACGATCAGTTCGAACACTACCAGTGAGCTATCTTTTTCCATAATGAAAAAATAATTATTCGCGCAATGAATCTGTGTAAAAGATGAGTAGTCAAAAAAGCCATTATATTTCATAACAACAACAAAAACTTTATTGTGATAGCGGATAGTCGGTAAACCGGATAAAGAGAATGTTTCAACTGGAGGACAAACGCACTAGTTCAAGACTGAATGACTGAACGACAGTTGGATCACGAAATGGAGTATTATCACCGGTATTGCACACTTACAAACGGTAATAATGCAGACAGCTAATTGCACGAATATAATCACAATAAAACGATGTTATTATGTTAAGAATGCGCCCAAGATTGAACTGCATCATAATATCATCTATTTGATATAATATCCTTTCAATGCACAAAAAATCATTTTTCTACGGTTGAAACACAAAGACAGCACAGCACGCATGTTTCGCCAGAATCATAATAGCATAATAATAACAATTCATCGGTTACTTCCAAGTTGTTGAGAAATTAAAACGAACCAACGAAAGGAACAATATCAAAAACACCAAAACTACTATAAGACAGAAAGGTTTTCGTTTGAATGATTCAGTGAAGAGATTTTATTATGAGACAATAGTGAAGCAAGATCATTGATGATAATAAATTATTTGTTAATAGGAACTGCAAGACATTCCGAATGACCTCAACGAGGAGATGCAGATTAGAAATGTTCTGCGCTCTCAACGTCTTTCGAATATTCATCACGAAAACGATTGAATTTCACTATCAAGTCCTCTAATTTCACCTCACCTCGTACCTGAAATTTAAACTTTGCAATAACAGTAATAATAAATGAAAAATAAAACAATAAACAAAAATAAACACAAAACAACACTCACAGCGTTGTCTCGTGTACGCACGTTCACCGTTCCATTCTGCGCCTCTTTCGGTCCAACCACCAAAATGAAATTGAATTGTGCCAATTGCGCATTACGAATTTGTTTATTCAACGTATCCGAACTCAACTCATCAAATTCCACTTCGTAACCCGCTTCATACAACTGAAATTCAATCGATCACCTACCACCTAACATCAATAACTAATATCAATAAACACCACGTTATGCTAGAGACGTTTATTAAGGTGTAAAATTCGAAAGAAGACAATCAAAACGAACCGTTTTCTGCACTTTTTTCGCGTATTCTCTTTGCGTTTCATGGACAGTTATTACCTTTGCCTGTAAGTATCGCTCAACATGAATTTTCTACGCCACCAATACGACGATAATATACATAAAGAATATAATTAAAAGTAAAAAAATAATGATACAGAACAACAACGACAACGACTAACAGTGAACAGCAATAATGAATAATGAAAAGCCAACCAATAAGACCAATGAAAACAACAAAAATGACCTGTCTTGGTGACAACCAGAATGGCCATTTGCCACCGAAATTTTCGGTAAGAATCGCAGTCATGCGCTCAATCGAGCCAAGCAATGCACGATGTATCATTACGGGACGTTTTCGTTCATTATTTTCACTGAAATTCGTACAATAATAATAATAATGAATATTCAACAAATCTGAATATGTATCAATGAATAAAACTCACTCAAAGTAAACCAAATCGAAACGCTGTGGCAACTGGAAATCTAACTGAATAGTAGCGCATTGATGATAACGTTTCAGTGCGTCTTGAATGGTGATATCGATCTGCAAATCAAGTCAAATCAGATCTGCACGATGTACCATAATAATAGCAACAAACGGTAACACATGCAGCAGAATGACACTCATTGCATTGACTGCAATAAAAGGAAATATTAATGAATTTCAAACCTTCGGTCCATAAAAAGCACCATCGCCCGGATTCAACTCCCATGCATGACCACTTTCATCCAACGCTTTCTTCAACTCCGCTTCCGCGTGGTCCCTTAAATCACGACCGTTTAATGATGAATATCACTAATTACAATGAATAACGATAGTGAATACCAATAGTAATAAACAAACAATAATAAAATTTCGAGAACACACCATGTTTCTATATCACCAAGATAATCCTCCTCCGGTCTCGTACTCAAATTCATCTTGAATGTGAATCCGAACACATCCACATAAACATAATTGATGAAGTCGATGCACCCCTTAAATTTGTTCCCATTTCTATTACGCATATAACTCAAATTCTTTAGAGTGGCAAACATCTCGTAACTTGGTTCAGCGATCGAATGTCTCTCAACAACAGCAAATGAATTCACTAAGAATGAACGAATACGAGAAAAACATTTCCTTTGAAATTTTATCGAGCCACTCAGCGTATATCGATCAGACAACTTATCAAACAGTGATGTCGAATGAAACTTTTCACGACAAATAAATGAAATTACAATCAGAATTCAATCCAATGTTCTAAATCCACACCACAAAATGCTCTTCCGATGGATTTTTGCTTGTCTGCTTCAAAGAACTTTGCCTCCGTAAACAAACATATAAAATAAACGAACGGCAGAGTGAACAACTGGAAAAAATCAGTGAAAGGAAAATACATGTGCAGTAAATAAAAGCAATTAACAAAAAACACCTTAATTTCCGAAATGATCTGATCGGGTCTGCAGAAGATGTGCGCGTCATCTTGTTGAAAACGACGTACACGAGTTAGACCAGTGAGTGCACCACTCATTTCGTTACTTCAATTTCAGATGATCATTCAGATACAATGAATTATTAATACATAAATCAAATAAGATAACTATTACAATGAATCAGTTAATTTACCGATGAAGCACACCAAAATCAGCGTATCTCATTGGTAACTCGTTGTGGGTGCGTGGCATATGCGAATACATGATACAATGTCCTGGACAATTCATCGGTTTCAGTCCGTACATCTCCTTCTCCACTTCGATCCTTCAATAACGTTTGTTATAATCAGTTGAAAAAAANAAAAAAAGGTACACAACTCGTTTCTGTAACACGGTAATAAAGGTAACAGGAACTTGATTATCAAAAGAATACTCGAATAACCAACTTGAACATTGCATCTGAATAATGTTGCCAGTGCCCAGATTGCTCCCATAGTTTACTGTTGAACATATTTGGTGTGATTACCTGAACCAACAACAGTTCAGCATCATTTCAGATCAATAATGAAACTGACAAATGCAAAATTAACGACGAATAAACATCCAACAAGCTGACCTCAGTGAAGCCACGCTTTCGATATTGTTTTCTCATGAAATCGCATAGCGTAATGTAAATATGTGCTCCTTTCGGATACCAGAACGCAGCACCTGGACTCAAGCCATTGAAGAAGAACAACTCTTGATCACGACCTATCTTACGATGATCTCGTTTGGCGGCCTCTTCCTTCAATTCAATTACATTGCACACCATCAATACGCAACATATAACAGTTTATCACTTTATGATCACCATACAGTGTTTAAGAACATTCCTATCAGTGCTTTAAAAAAACCGTTTCATATTATTCGAAAATAATGTAGTGCTAATGATGAATCAATAAATGCAACACTTTCAATGAATCAATTTTTGAACCATACGCACAGCTCTTATTTTGCACATTTTCTGGACGTATTCTTTCAACAAATATCAGGAAAGAACACGCGAAAACGATGTGCGTTTTGGATATGTAAAAGATGAATAAAAATGCGATCTTGCATAATAACTGACAGTATTCATAAACACTAGATATTCATATGGAATGAAGAGTACCTGAAGCTTTTGCCATTCTTTCAACTGCTTAGAATCTGGGAATGAGATTCCATAGATACGTGTCAGCGATTCAGCATCTGCTTTGCCTTCCCAATACGAACTCGACGTCTTTGTGACTGCCATCGCCTTAACTAATAATATTAGCACTGTGACAATAATAATGAAAACAACAATATAAATAAAACGCTACCTTCACTTTGCCAGTGTGACGAACGTGCGGTCCTCGACAGAGATCAATCAGAGGGCCACAACGATAAACTGTCGCGAGTGGCTCTTTTACCTTCTCATTTATTATGCGCAACTTAAATATCACTCTTTTATTTCTAGTTTTATTCACTGCTATTTTTCAATCCAATCAATTACTGCCATTATTACTACTATTATTATTATCATAATACCACGAGAATCACTGCACAAATCATTAATATAAGTGTTTCCAAACGAACCTCACATTACTTAACTACAGGGTCGCGTCCACCTCCAGTATCATTCAGAATGGACGAAAGACAATCACAATGAAAAAAGTAACGACGACGGTAATAACAAGAGTAATGAATAACCTTAAATTTATTATATTTGAACAGTTCCAGCAGATCTTCTTTGGTCACAAGGAGTCGTTCGAATGGCTGCTTATCCTTAAATGAATAACAATGATCACCACTTAGCTTCGTATCTTATTTTACTAATCACGATCATTAAAGTTACCATTACCTTGACGGCGCATTTCACTATCTGTTCCAGTTTTGGGAAGTCTTCTGGAGAAATTGCATCACCCTGAAACGATGGAATATTACCATTCGGGTAACGTCACTCTTGCAAACAGACTGCAAAAAGAAATAGGAGATTCTCTCTTCTCAAGCTCTGAAAAATTTTCGCTCCCTCTAGATTTTGGTGTACTATAACTAAAAAAATGCTATGAAATCAGCAATTAATTTTCTCATATCTGAATAGAAATGACAAAAAGCAACCTCTTTGAACATATCGTAATAAAAGCCCTCAGCAAGTGGTGGTCCATAACAGAGATGTGCACCACAATAGCGCTCAGCTGCTTGACCCAATATATGCGCTGAACTATGCCAGAACACCTGAATAACGAAGATAATTTTAATTATAACAAACACCTTATTCATTCTTTATTCGAACAATTATTGAAATGAACAGCAAAAATATTTATCAATGTTCGACCGTTAAACTACCGTCAAATAGGAACAATGAAATATTTGCGGCCCTGTTTGGTCGATAATGAAAATTAAATATTATTATATTGCACTACTTATACCTATTCTCATCATATTCACGATGAATATAATGAAGAATGCTTTGTGCAGCATTCAATATCTCATTACTTATACATCTCAGGCATCAAGCTTATACTTCGAGTATTCAAGCATATCACCACCTATTATAATCAGCACCCAAATTACGCACCATTACACAAAATATTCACCCTCATATGAAATATTCATCCTTCCAAAAATAATACTGCAAACTAACCAACCTTTTTGCCTTCTTCATCATCGAATGTCAACAGACAAAGTGTTGAATCTTTCTCCAATGGACGATCCAGATCCCATACCTACGATGTTTGTAACAAATAAATTGATAGCATTAATAATGACAGTATAAATTAGTAATATCATAAATTGACAGTGCACGACATTCAAAAGAACTCTTAATAAAAAAACAACCAATTATAAATAATAATGCATAGTAGAAATAGTAATCATTAATAAATAAATAAACCACAAATAGTTATTAAAGCTGAATAAGAGAGAGTTATTAAAGACAAACCTTCATTAAAGAGATAAAGCTTCATTAAAATAGTTATTAAAGATAAAACCTCATCATTGACTTTCGCCGCAATCGCGTTATCGGCTAGCGATCGACTGATTTTCTGAGCGATATCGAACGAAGTGGTACGCCACGACTCTGCTTCAAACTCCTTACCATCCGGCAATGTGATCTTTATCGGTTCGGATTTCTGACATTATTATTCTTAAGTGAAATGTTATCAATTGACGTTTACATAATAATTGTCATCAATGTTTTATTCGAATGATTTATGACGGTATTATTCCGATTTATTTCGATTTCATTTTTTACTTCAGACACAAGCTTCGGCTGAACTTACCTCACTTCAAACAAAAATTTGATTACCACAATTTTAGCTTCCGTTGGTCTTGAGCTTATCTACTGACTGATGAACTTAAGCTCCATTGTACTTACTAACCGCTTAGGAGATCATAATCGTCTATGACGGCAGCATTTGAACACCAAAACAGATTTGATCTTATTCTGATCATGTCACTCTGCACTGTATTACGAATGTTAACAACACATTCCTTTGAACTGTGTACTTTCTGCCTTTTCCATGCCACTCGGTACTTATTCTTCACATACGTTTAATCAATCACTTATAAATGTTTCGTTCGTTTTTATGTTTTAGCACTTTACGAATCGAACAATGAATTGTGTGAAATTGATAAATCAGTTTGTAAATAACACAAAATGAAATTTCGCTACCTTCGCAGCCAGTTCAGCTTTTTGTTTTGCTAAAAGCTTATCGAAGAATGCAGAACGCTGTTCAAGAAAATCGGGCCATGGGGACAACTCAACTGGCGCTTTCGTCACCTTCTGCAAATATTTCGATCATTTTTCCAAAGATGAAACAAGTTAAGGATCAAGTTATGAATAAAAGGAACTGCATAAGTTTATGACAGTACAGTATTAATGTTAACAAAAATAAAAATTCATAGTAAAATTATCAACTATGATAATAACACGACATAACAGAACCAACCTGTTGCTTCGACTTAACAGATGCTCCATTCTGAACATCATCTCCCGCAGCTGGTAGATCACCCGCCATTTCTTTCTTCTTTTTCAGTTTGATATTACTACTATAATACTTATTTAATTTATGATTCAAATTAATCGAAGATGCGAACTGTAAATTGCTCAACAAATAACGATGATGAGTCAGATATTTCGAGCCGCTTGCAAGCCCGAGATGATGCAGCAGTGAAATGAACGTACGAATATCGGCCGATTTCAATTGAGCGCACTTCTGGCAAAGTGGCTGAAATGTTTATTAGCTTGATGAGTAATGCAAATTTCATTTTTTGCGGTCTCACGTCGTTTTGTTATCATGACGATAACAATGCTAACAAAATGATAATAATTGCCACAAAAACGGCTTTGTAAGAGTACACCGTGTGATCATACAACATTCAACAATCGCTTTAATCAATAATTGATTGATCAATCCAACAGGAAACGACGATGCGTGATGACGTATCTATCATACATTATGACAACATTCATCCGTCATTGATTTTTCTCACTTATTTAGACACACCGTCAGCGGAAATAATTGATTTTTATGTTTAATTGCTCCAAATTTATGAAAATTTTCAAAAACAATGCATTTCAAAATAATGCATTCCACATGCTGAATTTCAGAGGCGTGGAAATGATGGTCTCGGGCCACTGGGCCAGACCAAGACTTACCGGGTCAGGCCAAAATTTCGGTTCTGCCCGGTGGCCAAGAACAGACAATGGTAGCCCCTGGATTTCTACCAACTGAATCGGAAATTTCGATGAGAAATGTTTCTGCGGAACGCAGAAACTGCATTAGGTTTCCATTTGGGACAGCAACTAATGGCAAAAATGAAGTAAATTCGAAATGCCAATCGATTTCGACAAGTGACACAAATCTTTCGGGCGGTTCGGATGACGCCATTGAAGGACGATGACACTGCCTGGACCACTGCCCACGCATTTGCTATAGTGCGTCTAGTGATGTGTCCCACTATTCTTTTTTTGAGTGCCAACTTCGACTTATTGACGAAATCTGTGAGGAAACCAGATGATGCAATGTTGAGTGAGCATGATTAAATGGCAAAAAACTGTTCACACTACAGGTCTACGACAAATGACCAAGCGACAATTGTAAGCACGACATTTATCCAGCACGTAGTTGGTCACACAAACTTCGTTTAGGTTCGCTTTTTGAGCAATGTGAACGCATGCTCACCATTTTGTGTGCGTGGTATAAAACACGTGTTAATGACAAGGGAATTTGAGAGTGAGTTTGTTTGGACCTAGGTGGAAAGGACGACCTAGGACAACTAGTCCGGGCCTTTTACAACACAACTACACAGGTAATGAAATCATGGATCACAGTTGATGATGAACGACAGGATGACGTCGGTAGTTCGCGGGCCGGATTCGACGGTGATGGTTGCTTCTTCGAATTTGGAGGTTGATCTCCTTGAATATATTCTGAGGCAAAGGCTCTCTGAATATATTGTGGGGCAAAGCCTCTCTGATTATATTGTGAGGCAGAGCTTCTCTGCATAACAGTAGAATAATCGGGGGTGAGGCGTTTGCCTTTTTGAATATCAGCCGATTGAGAGAATTTCCAGAACGAAGCTATTATGCAAGAGCTTGCTCTGTTATACAGTTTGATTTTCGAGAATCCCACTCCTTCCCCATGGACCGGGGCAAATCTTTGAGTTTGAATTTTCTTGATGGACTTCATATCAGTCCTGTCCTTGGTGGCTTTATCGGCTTCTCCGACCTTATTGACTTTTCTTATGATTCGTGAGAAAGTTACAACAGAATGCGTCATTCGTTCTTCACGACAAGCTTTTTTCTTTTTTGTCATTATGTACTTTTTTGCAGCTATCATACACTGCGTTATTCCTGTAATGCTCAAAATCATGAAAGAATTTTCTGGGTGGTTCTACAATAATGTGAAGGAATCGCGGGTTTCAAATTTGCATATAAGGTGTTCAATGATGGATTGTGTATCGCAGTTGGTGATCATTGGTATAATAGTATAATGTATTCATAAATTAGCATACAATCGTCTGAACGACAAATCATACCCGCCAAATTAACAACCAGCCAACCTCCATTGATCATCAGACGCTGATGAACTCACCAAATCGCCGCCTAGGGTTTGCATGGGATTCCGGGACTATAGTTTCGATCCCGATCCTGGGATTTAAGTTGCATGCTCTCCACAGAAGAAAAAATTGAACATAAGTCACAGGC